TACCGTGGGGTAGGGTTCTGGTGGAATCAAAGGCGGCACTGCTAACAGGGACGCCATCCTTCCCGATTGCTTGCACGGTGAAATTGTAAATGGTCAGAGGCTCCAGGTCGGTTATGTTGAGCTGCCGCTTATCCACCTTATAGGTCTTGTTGTGGGTGCCATCGTAGACGGTGACAAGATACTGGTTCGAGAGATTGGTGGTCTGGCATGGTGGCTTCCAAGCCAAACGGACTGACGAGGAAGTCATCGGCTCGGCGCCTAAGTCTGTTGGAACTAGTTTATCTATAGGGGAGAAGAAGGATGGAAAAAAGACAATGTCTCAGAATTCTCACATTTTACTCCCGTTTCAAATTTTTATTGTATTCCCTCTCTCTACGGGTGTATGTTTGCAATTTTGGGCAAGAGTAAGTTAAGTAGTGCACGTCATGTATCCCTAGTCCCAGCATTTTGTCCCATTGAAACGGTGGTTATGGGAATTTAATGTGTGGGAAGTCAGGATATTCGGTGGAATATACTTTAATAATTGCTATTTGCATTTTTATTTTATTGTATTTAGAAATTTTGTTGGTTTATATCCGCAGATTTTCCTAATCTGCATTGTCGTTTTAAGTATTGCGGGAAAATATATGTTTTTCCAATTTCATGAAAAAAATATAAATGGAGGTTAGCACAACTTACCTGAGGTCCAACTTACCGTTCTGGAGTTAGATTAGTTCAATTCACTTCAATTTACATGTGACACAACTTACTGTCAGTGGCCGCCGGAAACAAATGCAACCACATTTTTTCCAATTTACACTCACTTCTACAAATTTCCTTCACTGCCTATCCTATTTCCCCACCCCAAAACCCCTGTAACCACCGTTTCCGTAGGACAAATTGCTGAGACTACGGATATATGAAGTGCACTGCCTACACTACCTTTGCCCAATTTTGTCCTCCAAAAAGTACAGCAGCAGCCAAACATTTGTAAGCAGCCACGCTGTAGTCACTGCTGAGGTTCAAAGAACACCTCAACACCTTACTACCCGGAAATACAATTTTCGATGGAGGAGGCGGAAGAAAACACCCAGCTGGTTTGCGTTGATGTCCTCGCCTGGCACAAATATTGTGATAGCTTAAGGACCCCCTTCTGTTCAGGAAAGTAATAAGGACAACGCAAGTACTGAAAACTGCAACAACAAACACAGCTACTTAGGGGTGCTATAAATATATATCTGTGTGTGTGTGTGTGTGTGTGTTGGGGGCACTGTAGTTCCTAGAAAGACAGGGGATGCTCTCGAATGATTGAGAACGATCCAGGTATTTGCATGCTTGAGGAAGAAGGAAGGTCAAGCACCGGATTAAGTTGTTTATTATTCTGAGCTGTCGGGCTCTTGCGGGAGTCCATCCTCAGAGATAAAAGCGTCCACGAAAAGCAAGCAATAGTTGTGGGGGTAGGAACCAATCAAACGTCATACGGGCAGAGGGAGGGAGGGGAGTTTGAGAGGGAGGGAGAGAGGGGTCATTAATCAGCAGTGTCCGCCGTGCGGGTGTTCCTGTGGAGAGCAATATATGCGGACGTAAACTCAATACATCTGTTCGTGGACGCTTTTATCTCTGACGATGGACTCCCACAAGAGCCCGAAAGCTCAGAATAATAAACAACTTGATCCGTTGCTCGACCTTCCTTCTTCCTCAAGCAGGGGATGCTCTTTTCAACTTAAACAAATTTCAATAACAGCCGATATCACGCCTCTTCGACGGTATTGCGGGGTGAAGGTTGTGTGAGTAGATTGGAAACCCTGCCTTCCAACTTCAGTGCCGGTGGGCCAAATGGCTGAGCAACACACGCGTGATGAATTGTTCAACGACTAACCAGCCATTAAGTAATTATCGCAACTAAGGGAAATCAGCCGCGCCAAAGGGGAACCACCAATTGTTATCGGTGTGTGATAGCGTAGCGGTGGCCCCCTATGAATACTGCCACCCCGCCTGTGCATGAATTACCCGCATCTGATAGATCCGAGAGGTATACAGGCGAATGGAGTTTCTGTTCCAGCGATCACGCCGCCTTCTTCTAAATTCACGCAGACCCATGGAAGTTTCAGAATTACTCGGATAGGTTTTCTGGGAGGTGCTCCTGTCTGAAATTCTGTTTTTGGATGAAAATTCTCTGCTCGCAGACGAATGGATACCATACCTGATTGAATGTGATTAGGATTTTGAATCCCAGCAATTTTTCCTTATAATCAAGAGGCATAATTATTTGCCGAAATAGTACAAAAAACACAACGAAAAAGCCCTAATGGCTGTGAAAAGCACTGCAGTAAGGATTCAACATCGCCAATAGAACTAGCACTCTACGTCACTGATTGGAACCTTGTTCCGCCCCCCCCCTCCGCCCACATCTCACTTAATCAGTTGAC